TCATCAATGGAGATTATTAAAATGACACCTGCACAACTGGTTGAATATTTAAGACGTGAAAATTTGAGTTCGATTGAAAGTGATTATGAAACCTTGATAGGTAAAGGTAGTAAGTGTTATTTTTTAGTTTTCTAATACACCGCAAGTTCTAATACTGCAACACATAACTCGAAATAAAAAGCTGAAGTATCTTTGATGATTTGCAGATAAAGTCGTCCAAGTGGTTCAGTATAGAACTCAGCTAAAACTTCATGTGTTTACGGTTAAAAAATGCACGAATCGCTGATGCGCTTTAATGAAATGATTTGATAAAAGGAGGTCGACACGGACGCTTTGAGTATTTGGTGCTCATGTCTTTTATTGGAGAATCTGTGTTGATTTTCGCTTTAACAGATGTGATAAATTGTTTGCTAGTGATTTACATTCAAAATGAAAGTTAACGTTATAATAATCAGAGTTTCTTTTCTTTTTCTTTTTGGCTCAAGGTATAGATGGAGCGTCGTTATTTGTGTTAATTGACAAGGACGTTATTGATTTAAAGCTTACGACTGGTGCAAGAAGAAAATTTATGATGTTTGTTGAAAAAATGAAGAAGAATAATCAACCATCGGTACCTGATGAAGCTGCTGTCGGGCCTGTTCCTGTGTCTTCATCGGCAGCGTCAAGTGATGTAATACAAATTATATTCATGTCTTCGGTTAGTACAGAAATCTTTAAAGTACAAGTTACAAATGATGCTCGTTGGCAAAAAATAAAGGAAGATACAAAATTTTATGTTGAAAAAACGTGTAGGTGTCAATCTGCTTTAGTTTATTGGTTATATCTAGTGTGTTGTGAAACTATTCTTTCAAAAAAAAGAGTGTTGGTTTTTGATGGGCATACGAAAACGGACACTGTTGACTGCCCATAGTGCTAAAGCTGTTTTTTAGGGAGACTAAACACCGTATGCCTATGAGAGAAACTTGAGATTCTAAGTTTCCTCCCACAAGGTTATGTCTTTCCGTTTATCTAGAGTTTCAATTCCCGGTGAGTTGCAGTTTGATAGATAGTGTGTAAAATTATTCATTTTTTGTATCATCGTTGCATTGTAAACTTTTACATTTTATTTTTCTACGTTAGTTCACAAATCATCGGACGATGTTCGAAGCACGAAATTTTATTCAGAGAAAGGCTTCACTTGTCCACTACATTAGTTAATGCTGATTAGTTCGTAAACTAAGTTTCAATTAAGTTTGTTTCATTTTTTATCCTTTTTATTTAGTAACAGAAGAGTCATGTGTTAATATTTTATCCACCATGGACAGATATCGATTTAAATTTCCAGTGTGGCGTCTTGATTCGCTCATTTCATAGCTTAATTGGTTAGACGAAGCTTTATGGCATGATCGTGGTCCGTTGCCGGCAGATGAAATTGCTCAGGATTATGCTGATGGTCATCAGTTGGTCACTGTTTACACGAATTTATTGGATCATGTTAAACGAATACTAGTGTCTATGAGATGTATTTTTTGTTAGTGAAAAATTAAAGAAACCTTTTGTCGATCCAATAGATGGGATTGATATAAAAGTAAATAAAGGCTTATGAAAGTTTCAAATAAATTTACATAAGAGTATTCTACTTTTCAGGTCTATGATTCATTTGATAAATATCACAAGATACAATTTAAACCACTTGAGTCACAAGTGGTTGGATCAAGAAATGATGTTACCGATATGTTAATCGATTATTAAAAAAGTTGACAATAGATCATGATCAGTGGCTGATAACTGTTCATGTTCAATTTTTTGTGTATAGTTCCTTATTGTACAAATTCACCTTTATTCGTTTCCAGTGTTATTTACAAATTCAATTCTACTGATTTTTTGAGTGTTTAACTATTCATGTTTAAGTAGTAGAAAACGAAACTGATTTGTCAGACATTTACCTCTCATTATTGTTTAATTGATTAATAGATAGGTTTTTCTGGTTATGAAACCTGGACCTAAAAATGAACCGTTTACATTGCTTTTCGTGTTAGACGAGTTGTCTCATGAGTAAACAAGCTAGTGCAACTTAAGTTTCGCACCAGTTAAATTGGATATTTGCGCGGCATTTTGAATTGCTTTTTCTTCTTATCTTTAGATGCCATTGATGTTTGTTTGGTTTTACTTCTGTCATAGTCTTGATGGATAGATTTGATCTGTAGTTCTAAGCGTCTTTTTAATCAATGGCATATCTGAACCAAAGTAGGCTTCGGTAAACATTCGAAGTTCATCAAAAAAGCTATTTGTTTAATGCTGAACCCGGTGGCGTTTCTACAGAATAGTAGACCAGATTCGCAAACAGACAAGCGTGTACTACATAATCATTTTAATACCGCTGCCCATCTGTTTTAGAATTATGATGGCTAATATTATTGACGACTATGTTTCTGATTCGCCTATTTTTCATCATGTATTGGATTTAACAGTGCCCATTTTTGTTGAGAAAAATGAAAAAAATATTATGACAGATGTTCCACCTACAAAAATAAATAAAATATTACCTTCATCATCAATATTGTTAGAATGTTTGTCTGACATGGTGTTATTTGATGAAAAAACAAAAACAAGGGAAAGAGCGATTACTACCATTTCCACAGCAACGACAACAATGTTGAGAACGACCGATGTACAAGAATCAACAATGAATTTATATTCAGCAGATAAATGTTCAAAATTGTTTGTTTTAACAGCAAGATTGAATGATCTGAAATTAAGTCGTCCAGAATCGTTCAGACGTGAAATGTTACAAAAGCGTCCATTCGAGCCGTTTAAACTTACAATCGAATTATACAAATTTGATGATACATTAATGACGTCGTGTGACTTTACACCATTTAACTTAGCATACATAATCTTGTCTTCGGGAATGATTAGAAAATCAAATGCATCGGCTATGTATACTGTGAAGACGTTATTTGATTTTGCTGTCATGTGTGATCCTAGGAATCCAACGTTGGATTGTTTATTAAGAATTGAAGCATTGGATATGTACTATAATTGGTTACAGATTTCCGTAACAAAGAATCAAAGAGACGAACCGTATTTCTCTCATACAATAATCATGCTTCGTCTTATAAGTTTAATTTACGACCTTGATGTACTCAAAGTGGTACATTGTATGTACGATACTGTTTTCTATGAAAAATCTGGTATGCTAATGTTTTCATCAATTATCACATTTTGTATCAAGCTTTATTTCGTATAGATCAAGCCAAGGCTTCAATTATGTCGCAAAGTTATCCGTGTCAAAATAAGTTTACAAAAAACAGCTCTTGAAAATGAAAAGTCGGCTCCGGATCTGTCACGTTTTAAACAAATAGAGTAAGTTGAAACATGACTGAGTTGTCCTATTGCTATTCTATGACTTAATTAGTCTCTGTTGTACTTCTTTTAAGTCAAGACGTCGAATGGTTCAAAATTATGATTAAAATGATTAATAATAAAAAATTAAAAAACAATATAGTCAATGACATAAACAATTTATTAAGAACATTCAATGCACAAACATATCAAAGATTACAGAATTATGCATTATTTAGAATTATTCTTATAAGTTTGAAAAATTCATAATACACATTTTTCTGAGCAATATTTTATTTTTTGATTCCACCTTCTTTGCCTTGTTTTGCGTAAATCGTTCACAGCAGGTTTTTTTCACAATTCAGAAGTGAGAATATAGAATAATTAAATGCTAGTTGTAAAATACAAGTTTTTGTTTCATTTTCTCTGTCCATGATACGTGCGTCGATGGTGAACGAGTAGTTATCGGTAGGTTGTAAGTGGAGTAAAAACCTTCAATGAGTCATTTTAATTTGAAAACATCAAGTTTACTTATTCGAATCAACGTCTTAAATAACGAAAAGAAAGAGATTGCCGAAGTATATACGTTGGATTGCACAGACAGAGCTCGCAAAAATTCGGAACAGATTTTTCAAAAGAAGCACCATTGTCAGGGCGCCCCGATACCTCGGAGGCAGGGGAGGCGAAGTCGATTTTGGAGTAAATTTTTATGCTTTTAAAAATTGGAGTAAAACTAAAAAAAAGATAAATATTTTCAGCCATTTTCTTCTAAAGCAAGACGTAACCCTAACCCTTGCTACTAACCTCTGCAACCCTTGCTACTTTTGTTATCCCTCTCTAACCCTTGCTACTTTTGTTATCCCTCACTAACCCTTGCATCATCTCTAACCCTTGCATCATCTCTAACCCCTAACCCTTGCATCATCTCTAACCCCTAACCCTTGCATCATCTCTAGCCCTTGCAACTAACCCCTAGCCATTGCGTCATCATCTCTAGCCCTTGCAACAAACCCCTAGCCCTTGCATCATCATCTCTAGCCCTTGCAACTAACCCCTAGCCCTTGCATCATCTCTAACCCTTGCAACTAACCCCTAGCCCTTGCATCATCATCTCTAGCCCTTGCAACTAACCCCTAGCCCTTGCATCATCTCTAACCCTTGCAACTACTATCCCTCTTACTTCTCACTTTCCACAAAGGCAACAACCCCTCCAAAAACACTTCCACAATCAACCACTCCCCAGCTAACATCCAAATAAACATACAAAATTCAAAAAAAACATAATCGTCTAGATCCGAAGAGATCTGTCTTTCTTCTTTTTTTTCCACAAAAACTCTTTCTTAAAAGCATCTTTATTCCAACTTTCTCACTCACAACTACCTCGATCTCATCAAAACACCTTAGTCTACATCTTCTTAATTTTAACTTTATCTATGTCACCAATCCTCTTAAACTTTACACTACTCCTCGTCCCAATTAGGAACGTCCCTCTTCTTAACACTCAAACTCCTCATATTTCCTTCTCACAACAAAAATATAACCAGGTCTTTGTCATATCAAAATTAAATATCCTTTACAAAAAATCAAATCTTTTGTACTCATACTTTTAGTCTTCAACTACTTCAAATTTACTCAAAGTATTGACTTCTTTGACACTTAAACATTCTAATACCTATGTCTTTCCAAACCTACAACACAATTCAAACATATATTAATCACTTTCACATATCAGTATTCAATGTTGTGAGCACAGAAGTATGTCTTTTCTAGTCAAACTTTGTATCTTCTGTGCATGTTCCCAATTAGGAAACTCAGTCTTTCTACCTCAATTATCTCAATACCTATCTAACCATCAAAGTACTTCAACAACTACTCATACAAACCATCATAATACACAAATAAAATACATATCACATATTAACAATTAAATCTTTTCTACTACATCTTTACATCTTTCATGTCTTCCAACTAAAAAAACATGAATTTTTAATACTTTATTTTTACTTTTTTCAATTTTCAAAAAAGATAAAAAGATGAATCCTTTGTAATACAACATTTTATTCTTAATTAAAGCGTCACCCAACAACCCCAATACCCATAATTAACATCCAAACCCCAATCCATTACCATAATTAACCCTAATCCTTCATCCCTAGTCATCATAACTACAAACAATCCAACAATCTTAATTACCAACCATACCCATAATCCAAAAACAAGCGTAGTCTTAATTAACAACCCTAACAACAATCTTAATTATCAACAAACCATCCCTAATCCCTATACAATAAAAAAACACCCTTAACAACAACATTAACAAACACTACAATAATTAACAACAACAATCCATCTTAATCATTAGGGGTCTAAGAAATAAAAATCTTCCAAAACAACACACAATCAACCGCTCACCAGTAGAGTCCTGCGGTAACAAAAAAATCCCATTACTTTACCATTACCATGGTAATGGTAATGGTAATGGTAAAAAAAAAATTTGGATTTGTGGTAATAGATGGTAAATGGTAACAAAAATTTAAATTCATGGTAATGGTAATGGTAGTGGTAACGGACACCGTTCATAATCATACCATCTCTTTATTGTAAAAAAGAAGAAAAAAAAGTACCAGAAAAAAATAAAATT